TGGGCACACAACCGTGCGCTCCATAACTCCCATTCCCTCGCCAAAAAGCCCCCTCCACCCGCTCCCCCTCCCCCCAAGACCAGACGTCCACACAAACATGCACAACAGTAAAACAAACAAACAATTGACGTTCTTCCCTTCTCTCCCCCGTCTCGCGCCCGTTATTTCTTCGCTGTTCCCTCTCTATTCTATCCCACATCCCCTTTTTCTCCCCGGCCTCAGGCCACCAAATGCCCTCCCTCACCCAGCCTGCTGCGTCTCGCTGTGTACACGCAGACGCGGTTATATGCACCTACGCGGATGCTCGACGTGTCTTTCATGTAAACGAGTGTCCACATTGCCTCTTCTTCCCCCCCCCCCTCCCCCTCCTCCTCCATCCCTCACACATTTTTGTTTGTCTGTTTCTTTTTTCTCCCACCCCATTGTCGGTTCTTTTTTATTTTCCTTGAGCACAACAAGAATTCCTTTCTCGCTTTGTACTATTTCACATAAGTTCCTCAACTCATCATCACGCTCGCAGCAGCAGAGGCACTCGTGGGCGCCAAGCCCCTACTCAGAAGCACACGAAAAGGCCACGGCCGACAAATGCAGGCGCCAACACACACACACACACACACACACACAAATATTTATACTCTTCACCATCGCTTGAAAAGCATGAGGGACCGGGGGGAACAACAGCAATGCACAAACGGAGCGTGGAGGAGACGAGCCACAGGCGGCAACACTCACACGGGAAACACCGAAGGTAGCAACGATGAGTTAACCCCAAATAAATTAGGAAACAAAAGAAGAAAGGACAGAAGGAGGGTGTATGTGTGTGCCCAGGCAATGATGAGACGCGTGTAGGCTTCACCATGTTTTTATTTTTGCTGTGAAACAGCAAGAAACAAACAGGGCGTTAGAAAGAAAGAAATGAGAAAAAAAAAGAAAAAAGAAAAAGAGAAGGAAAAACAACAAAAAACAACGTGAGTTGCAGAATAATCACCGTCCCCCCTTCCCAGTTTCACCTTTTTTTAAAAAATTTTTTCCTCTCCGCCAAAACGAACAACAATATGAGGCAGCAGCTACAATAACACACTGATGCGTGTATTGCATTTCTTTTTTTTCTTTTTAGTCCGCCTCCTTGTTTTGGGTTGTCTCCAAGACAAGACACACAATCCCCTTCTATTCCAGTGTTTCCTCCTCTCCTCATTATATATAGATATATCGTTTTGTATGCCTTCCGTGGCAGTTTCCCGTTCTTCTAGGCGTTGGGATCCCTGTTATGGATAAATCAGTCCAAGAACACCTGCCATGCGCCAGCCTTGCATACATAGCGGTGTGCATCCGTGCGCCGTGGCGTCCCCCCCCCCCCCCACGCGGGTTCTCGTCTCTAATCATTCCTTCCTGTGCAACGCTGTTGTTGCAAGTGGTGCGCGCCCCGCACCACAACTCCGCACGTTTTTTTTTTTTTTTATTAACGCACACTCATCTCCCCATTTACTTTCTTATTTTGCCTCACTGATCCTTGTTCCAATAATACTTCGCTGTGATTCATTTTTCATCCTTCATTTCTTTTTGCTTTTGCTTTTTCTTTCTCTTTGTTTGTTTTGTTTTTCTTTTGTTTTTGTTTCTTTACCCCCTTTTCGAGTGTTCTTCATTTACTTCTGGCATTGCTGCTCTTCTCATGCACTGTGGGCGTGTCGCCGGGGAACCGGAAGGCGGTCGCAACGAAAACGAAAACACGCACCTTCGCAGACTGCTGCCCTTTTCATTGATGCATCTGCCGCGGTGGGTTGCCCCACACTTCTTGGCCGGAGCACAGTGGTGGCGGGCTCGACAAGTTTCCACCTCCCCCACCACCTCCAGCACCACCACCCGTTGCATTGCCAGCATAATAGGGGTAGTAGTGATTCGATGTCGTGTGTGGTGTGTACCGGTGCCCACCGTATGGGGAACTATAGCCGTGGTACGCATATCCTGTATTGTTGTTGGTGTTACCGTGATATACGCCGCCCCCTTCCCAATACACGGCATTGCCGGGTCCTGCTGGAGGGGCTGCGCCACCCCCACCAGCACCCCCGCCACCTGCTGCTGTCGTCGTCGGAGCCACACCACCGCCCAAATTATGGTACACATAGCCACTATTGCGTTGGCCAGCATGTGGGTTGGGCGAGCTTTGACGAGAAGAATCGCCCCAGTGAGGAGAATAGATTGTTGGCTGGGCTAATACAGAGAGCAGCGGTGGCTGATAACTGCTTGTGGAGTGTGTACTTCCATGATAGGGTGTGTGTGGTGTATTTGTAATGGACCAACTGCCACCCCCGCACCCGCTTAATGGACGGGCGTGTGGAGGGACACCAGAAGATGCGGATGGAGCTCCTGCAGCAACAGCAGCAACCGCGCCGCCAGCACCTTGTTGATACCCTGCTGATCGTTGGTATGAACCCATTGAGATAGATACATCTCGTCTGATGTGGCGAGGCATTACCGGAGTGCACATGGAGGCAAGGCCCTGCGCATTCATGGGTGTAAACGAAAGTGTAGGATTTTGGTGGAATTCAGGCGTGCTAGGTGACGGCTCCAACCCGAGACTACGCAGCGTGGGAATGCCGATTCGAACATACTGCGGCTCCAGGTTGTTGGGATCGTATTCATCCCAAAGGTGCAGTTGACGTCGCCACATATTCAGGTAACGGTCAAATGTACGTTTGCTACAGTCATACTCAGGGCGTGGGGTCATGGGATGCATCGGGTTACGAAACTCACGATCGCAGCGAGAGGGCACGGCTCGAAGGTAGTTACTGTACCCCGCTGTCTCTTTGCCGTACTGCACCTGACGCTGGCGCTGCTTCAGCCGCCGTGACCGCTCTGCTGTGTCTCCCAAATTTATTTCTGATTGAAGAAGTTCCACGCCAGTGTAATTAAGATGCTTTTCCTCCTTCTCAACAAGCTGAAAGGCGGCGGGGCATCGATGCATTTCGGCTCCTGTAAGAGCCCCATAGCCGCCCGCTCGCGCTGTTACGTCCAGGCTCACCATGCGCTTGTTATTTAGCCCCGTACGCGCTGGGGCAGTACACGTAGCTGCGACTACACCTACCGGGGCCGCAGCCATGTTTGATCCACTACTGTTTATCGTGCCCTGTAGCGCCGCTGACGCCACCGCAGTCCCACACAACCGGCCAATCGGACCCACCTGGGAATCACTGCCGTCAAGAGCAGCAATAGGGGACCGCTGCGTGGAGCGACGGAAAAATGACGAGGACACTCCAGCTGCGCTTGGACCAGATGTCCGCGCAATGTCTGCCTTGTACGCCGCCTTGACTGTGACGAGGTTTTCCATGTTAACACCCGCATACCCCTCCAGCTCAGACTCCACACCAAACATGAAGAGCGGCACCTCACGGTACGGCTGGTGTGTCTTCACAATTGGAGACCGCATCTGCTGTGCCGCTGCCGCCGGCACATTGCGTGTCGGGGTGGCTGACGTGGCAAGATCCGCCTTGGGCGAGCCACGTCCGGCTGACCCCTCCCACACAGGGGCCGCACCACCGTTCCCGCCACCACTGCTGACGATGTTGTTCCTTGAGCCTGGCCGTTTACTACTTTCTCCCGCCGGCACAGGCAGCATTGTTGCGTACGCGTGACACTCTTGTTACTGACTTCTCACACCCTCCTTTTGTGGCGGTGGTTTGGTTTTCTCCTCGCCCTCACCTCGCGGAGGTGACTGTTGTTGTTTTTGTTGAAGTCGTGGCGGTCTGACACTTACCGCTGCGCTGCACCCTCTCTTCCCTTTCCTTCACTTTCTCCTCTTGACAAGACTTGGGCGGGCAGAGCAGCACAGAAGATAGTAGCACCCTCCTCCTCGTTTCTTTCTTTCACTCTCTCGCTGTGGTATCCGCGCCTTGCTTCCTCTTAGATGAGCAGCAGCAGCCACACACACACACACACACACACACACGCACGGCGTGGCGGTGTGTGGAGCAGCCAGCGACAGCCGAGAAGTAGAGAAAAAAGAACGGGTAGAGCAAACAAAGAGAATGAGAGAATGCGCAGGTGCACTCCACGCCTGGCCTCACGGCAATGGGTGCATGAGGAAACACAACCACAAAGAAGAAAAACAAACACAACAACGTCACACACACACACACACGAGCACAAAAGGGAAAAGGGCCACGACCGGATTGCAGTAGAGGCTCCATTGCGGGTCCCATTGGACGCTGTGCACGCAAGAATGCCTATAGTCTCTCTTTCTCTCTCCATCATATATATCTGTGCAGGGCAGACGCATCCTACACAAGGTGGCACACGACAGCGGAGACCACACACAACTCAGACAGGTACACACCCGCACGCATCAAGTGCTCAGAAAGAAAGAGACCATAAAAATGACGAGTACGCCAACATCAACACAATAATTTCATTTATCTATTATCATTCGGGTTACCTGGACTAGGATGACGAGTGCCGTTTCATCAGCACTGCGAAGTGCTCTAGATATGGCCATCCTCATCATTGACACACACACACACACATACACACACAGACGTTACTTCATGCCTCCTCCCTCACACACCCTTCACTGCTTCTCCCTCGTCGCCACCGCACGGTGCTTCTCCTTTCCTCACTCTCAGCCGACCACAGGTAACCCCACGCGACGGGGAACCAACAAGCGACACAAGCAAAGAAAAACAAAACAGCAACAATAAAAAAAAAACAGGAAAAACAAAAAAAAACGAGGGTATCTTCCTGTATGTGTATGAGAGTGAAAGGGGGTTAAAACAAAATAAACATATGGAGAGAAACGCCTCAAGAAAGCACACACACACATACCCACACACGCACACAGAAAGAGACAAAAGCAAGAAACCAAATATGTATTTGCAGAACCCACACCCTCTCAGCGAAGCTGGTCTTCTAGGTACTGGTATTCAAATGTAAAGTCTTCTTTTTCTTCTATACGCCATGTGTCCTCGTAGTTGAAAAATATGAACGACCCACGCTCACTCCCCTCCTGGGACTCCTTCATATGACCGTTGCGTTTGAACCATGTGTTGAGTTGTGTGTGGTAGCGAAACGACTGCACCTTGATTTGTTTTGCAGCGTAGTACTGCTGATACGTATTTTGATGATAGTAAAAGATAAAAAAGAGGGTTTCCAACTCAAACTCCCGGTATATGTCAGCTGAGGCTAACGCTGGGAGTACCTGCTGCGGATAATACGAAGGGCAGTCCGTCGGATTTGACGGCTCAAATGGACGCTGTCGATCAACATCTTGTGTGTGCGGCAGGTTCCCTAGAGACATGTCAATCAGTTGCTGCATCATGGCCTTGTCATAGCTGACAGTGGGGTGGCTTGAAGAGGATGAACCAGCGGTTCCTTGCTGTTTGTGTTCCGCCGTTCGTTGCGGTTGTGGAGAAGTGGGAAGTTGCTGCGGTGCCGTAACTGCGGCTGCTGCCGCCGTGGTCGCGACAGGTTGTTCCGCTGCTTGTGACTTGAGCGTCAAAGGAGGTGTGGCGGCAGCACCAGCATTTGTTGTTGTTGTTGTTGCAGAAGCAAGTGATATATCAGGCGTGGCTAAACTTGATGGGCGGCCCTTTTCCCACTCACCCAGACGCGAGAAAGTGCTTGTTGCCTTCGCCATATCTGCTAAAGAACCAGGAACTTTTATGTCCATTGCGTCGTCGCCAAATGTGTCTGTGTTTGCCTTGTCCATCTCATCATCCAGCAGGCCGGCGTTATCCTCCCACGCCTCCGGGGAGGTGTCCCCACCCACAGGTGGCCTTGCTGCTACCGTGGGCGAGGTACCCCCGGCCCTGCTTGCGGTGGTTATTGGGGCGCGGGCTGAGCGCTTTGCCGTCTCCGCCTTGCTGACGGTGAGAGACGCCATCATCTTCTTCACCGCATTCTGCGACGATGCCCGTGTGGTGGTGGGGCTTGACGTCATTGAATTCTTTCGTGCGTCCTGCGTGGCAGCATCGTCCGCCTCTGCACCACTACCACGCGACTTCTCGTAGTGGTTGTCCTCCAGGTCAAATCCACAGTAGATGGTCTCGTCATCGTCGTCGTCATCGCTATTGGTCTCATTCAGCAGGAACCGCTGCACCCGCTCTTCAATGTCGGCCACCTCATCAAGATCGACATCCCCGTTTGTCACTGACTTGAGGAGCTGTTCAAGCTTTCCTAGATGAAACTGAAGCTTCTGCAGCCGCACTAGCCTCGGCGGGCCCCGCCCCCTTGCCGCGCCCATGGTTCCCACGCGTATTGCGTTCCACGTCATACTCGATAATCTCAATCTGCTTGCGTGCGTCCTCCATGGCAGCCTTCAGCCACGCCTCGGTGTGTGCCTGCGGGGTTTTGTGCGGGGAGGCGGCCAACAGTGCCTCCTTGCTGTACGCCTTTGTCTTCGTCTCCCGCTCACACGACTTAAAAACCTCCATTTTTTCCTCAATGCTTTTTTGGTGCAACTCCAGCGCCTTCTTGTCCTTCACCTCCGGGGTGATGATCATCGCCTTGATTGAGTCGCGGAAGCGCTGCAGTTTTTTGATCTCCCTCTTGAGATCGCCCTCAAGTCGTGCCTTTGACTGCGGTGTGTCAGCCTTGAGGAACTTGTTGTATTGCACCTCGTAGCTCTCGATGCCATCCTGCGTGCGCCGCAGCAGGCGATCGATTTCTTGCTGCACCTTTTTACTGTTCGTCATTCCTTCTTACCTCGTTTTTGGTTGTTTCGTTTTGTACGCTGCCCGCGTTGTCCCTGCTGACAGCCTTAACCAAAAAAAAAAAAGCGGACAAATTCTTCGTTGTACCTTTTCGTCGCTCTTCTTTCACTCCCCTTCTTCTGTGACGCCCGCTTCCCTTCTGTCTACGGCCTGCGTGGTCGCCTGCCACCAGACCTCCTTCTGCGAACTTTGGGGGCGGCAGCGGCGCTTACTCCCTTGCTTTTCTTCCGTCCCGCTTCCTGTGATTGCTATTCCCTTGCCGCCAACGCGCGTTCCCCAGTCACAGCGTTGGGTGTGCGTGTGGTATGAGTGCAGCTAGCGACGCGTGCGGCCTGTGGGAGAAAGTTATTCCTTCGTTTTCCTTGTTTTTTTTGCCTTTTTTATTCCTCTCTCTTTTTCTCTTTCTCTCTTTATTAAATAAATATTTCCGTCTTACTCTTGGCGTTGTTTGCTCTTCGTTGAAGTGAAAATGCTTCTGTCCACGCAGAGACGCACAGCCACCGTGTAGGTGTGGGAGTAAACGTGGCGAAAGGTGTGCAGACAGGCAGAGGGAGAAAAAGGAGGAGAAAAAGCAAGAGAGACATATAAAAGCCAAGCCGCTGGCCTCCGCCCAGCAAACATACAACAATGACGCCTGAACCGCGGCAGTAAAGGGAAGGGGAGAGAAACAGAGATAACAGCATAGGTGGAGCGTGCGTGCGCATGTGTGATGAAGGCAGAGGGGCGGCCAGTGCCGCCTGCCTTCCCTCAGCTCCCGTTGGTGACATCCTCCTCCCTTTTTTCTCCTCACGGACACACACAGACAGACGGACATGCGGGGTGGGGGGACTCCTTCGTCAACCCCAATTCTTTATCGTTCCATCCCACGCCGAGGTGACAACACGCGACGGCTCCATTGGGTGCCATACGTGAGAGGCCAGCGTCTGCGTGTGTGCGGGGAAGGAGCGCACCAGCTCGGATGTGAGCCACGACCATATAAAGAGTTTGCCGTGGATGTCGCCACTCGAGAGAAAACGACCGTCCGGGCTAAATGCAAGTTGACAGCGCGTTCCAGAGATGGTGTGACCGCTGAACACACGGTGCCGCAGCAGCTTCACCTGCCCTCCGCCACTGTCAGCGAAGACGAGTGCTTGGTTGTTCAGCGACTGGGCCACCAGCATGTCCTCCGTCGGGTGATGTGCGACGTGCGTGATGGCATGCATGGAGACATCCGCAATTTGTTTAATTTGCACCGGGACGCGAAAATCCCACGTGCGAAGCGTCTTGTCCTCCGCCGTCGTCAGCAGCTTCTTCCCCCCGCTCAACAAGGTGAGGTTAAAGATGGTGCCCATGTGCCCCGTGTACTCCCGCTGGTACTTCTGCGAGCTTGCCCGCACGTCATACAACACTATTTTGCGATCGAGGGCGGCGAGGATGAGGGAGGCGGTGTCAAACGGGTGGTGCAGGTGCTGCACACATGGAAGTCCCTCTGTGTTGGTCAGGACGTTGCGGCAGACCCCCTGTTCCACATCCCACAGCGCCACAGTCCCATCAACAGAGCCGGTGGACATGGTGGCGGCGTCCGGCGTTACCTCCAACGACTTCACCGGCTGGGTGTGGGCCACGAACGTCGCGATACACTTCCGCGACGCCATCGCCTCGTACAGCCTTACCTCCCCCTTTAGGTCTGCTGCAAATAACAAATGCCCCACAGGAGGAACCCACTGCAGCTGCTGAATACCGGCAGCGTGCTTGCTCCAGCCACCCTTCATCTGTCGCGGCGGCCGACACTCATGTTCACGGGACTCCAATGCGGTGAGCAGCGAGGGCGGGGGTTGCAGGAACGATCGCCCCAAGTAGTCAGTGCGCACAAATAAGGAATCAAACTGCACATGCGGGGTAAGGGAGGAGGACGGGGATGCTGTCTCATTTTTTTCCTCCTTCTGGTTTCCCACAGCGGCGGCTTGGCGCGAGTCGGGAGGAAGACTGCGGGGTCGCTTTTGCGCCGCTTTCCCCCCCCACCTTTCCTCTTCTTGTTGTTGCTGCTGCTTTTCCGGCGGCACTGCAGCTCCATCGTCTGCTGTCAGGTCTGCTGGAGGTGGCGGGTACGTACGCATGACGTCCTCTGGTGTGGCCGCCAGGTGCAGCAGGAGATCATCATTATCTTCTGGCGGAGGCGGTGGCGTGTTGCCAGGTGCCACGTCTCCTAACTGACGAGCCACACGCTGCAGAACATCGGCCCTGACGCGTGGGGCGGGGTCGTAGTACATGACCTGTTTGCATGCATGCATGCGTGGTAAAGTACAAATATATTGTGTGTATGGGTGGGGTGGGGTGTGTGAAAAACGGTGACAAGTAGTGAAAATCAAAAATAGGAAGGCAATACATAAAAGCACACAGACTGTGGGCAAGTTGGACCGCACGGTTATTTGCTACCGTCAAGCATTGCACCCCCCTCTTTACGCGCGTTCTTTCTTCTTTCGTTATCTGCGCGGAAAAAGTGAATATGTAAGCATGCATGTTTATATACACACATCCACTGGGATGCCACATGCCATGTGAACGAACACCCCAGTGGAAACACATGCACGCTCACACAAATGTGAAACCGCTAGATGCAAACTCAGGTGATTTCGCACTGAGTATGCATCGCTGTTGACGCCTCTCCTGCCTCTTCCTCTTCGCTCTCTCCCTTCCCTTAAATTCCTTTTTCCCCATCCACTTGGACTTCTCCTTCCCTGCCCACCATGCGGCCTCTACTTCGCATCCAACTTTGGGCATATGGTTGTGTGGTGCCCCCTCCCCCTTCACTGCTTGATGCCCGTCTTCTTATGTGTCCGCGAGCGGTCAATGAGGAAGTCGTACCAATTGTCTTCTGGATTCGTATCTAACGGTCGAAACAGCGGCAGAAGAATCTCGCGGCCCACGCGACAATTCTCGCATGTGTACAGGAGCTGCTTGATGCCATCCTCATCCTTGGTTGGCAGCTTCTGCACCTCCTTCGTCAGGGAACAGGTGTAGTAGTGGCAGTCCATGCACTGCAGGCACCTGTTGCTCTGGTGCAGATCGCGTGAGGTGAGCACCACTCGGCTGCCGTCCTTGCAATGTGGACACTTCCACACACGGTAAAAGGCGCACCCATTGACGTGCTCTAAGTACTGTCCATGCGCCATCACATCCTGCATCGTCTTATCATCCCGCACACGCGACATCAGACCGTGACACTTGGGGCAGAGCGTGTCAAGCAGCTGGTTCACCAGCACCACGCTGCAGAAGAGAAATAAGAGGGAACCCCACAAAAGGTACGGAACTATGTAGAGGCCATACGACAGGGTCTTGCCAGCGAAGCGTACCTTGTTTCGGGTAGGCATGGAGAGTAGACCGCGCTGCCACAATGGCCGCATTTCCTGCGCCTGTCGTGCAATGGCGTACACGAGCTGCACCGTCGCATAGCTTGGTTTCCCTTCCTGTACGAGCGGTTGAAATATCTCCCGCACCGCAGGCTCAAGAAACTGTGTGTCAAAGTACTCCTCAATGGCAGAGCTTGCGACAAGGTGTACACTCGCCTCGCGCTGGGCAATAACCAGCAGCAGGCCATTCCCCGTGGGCTCGCCTATGCCCCAGTCAAACATTATGGAGTTGGCAAAGGCCTTCACGGTGGTGTAGCCAACAGTCGGCACCAGCACCACGTACATGTCGACCTCGCACAACGCCTGCATCTTGTCGATCGCCTGCTCAATCTCCATGCGATCCTCTGAGGTTAACAGGCCGCAGAGATCCGTCACCCGCTTCTTGGCGTACTTCGGCACCAGCTCCCAGGGCCGATTCGTCTTGCGGTAGTGAATCTCGTCAAAGGTCTGGATCTTCTCAAAGGACGCTACAATCTCCTTGTTGGTGCGCTTCCGACCGGCTTTGATATCCTCCGCCAGGTCGCGGCTATGCCCGAGCTTGGAAAGCGACGAGAGAAGCTCCACGCCAGCGCCACGTCGCGCCACAAGCAATGCAGAAGCAAACCGAGACGTGTCACAAGCCCCTTTCGCGAGGGGCATAACGCTCACACCACCAGCAGCACTAAAAGGACCAAAACGACTAACGCTGCATAACCGGCGAAAACTACAGCAGGTGCAGCTAGGGAGGGCGCGATCCCGTGGGATGCTCGCAGCCGCAGCACGGACGCCCAACCACGCCCACCGCATAGGTTCCCCGCGATAACAACAAGAATACGTTCTTCTATTCTTCAAAACCAAGACACAACGCCAGTCATGGTGATAATGATGCAAAAAAGAACACAATAATAATAAATAAAAAACAAGAGAAATAAATAGGAACATGGGGATGCGGTAGAACAAGGCAACAAGCGCGGTGAGACCTCTCTCAATAATCATTCACCCCCACACTCCCTTTTCTCTTTTGGAACGAAACACCCACAACGCCTCGTCTCACACCAAATCCGCCTTGCTGCACGCAGGGGGTTGGTCTGTCACACCCACCTCATCTACCCCACCGCCATAGTGCGGGAACATCAACTCCTCTGCATGAGGTGACTGCCGCTCCATCGCTTGCACCTCAAGCTCCACGCGGCAAAGCTCAAGGTTGGTTCGGGCAGTCACCTGCTGGTAGAGGCTCAGCACCCGCTGCAGGCGGGATTGTAGGCGCCACGCACGCTCCCCATTGCGCCTACAAAGCGCATGCAGTTCGCCAGGATCATCCGTCTTAGTCCCCATCGTCGTCCCATTACCGTCACCATTATTCTCATGGATGTTTTCGCCTCCCCCATCGTCGTTGGACGCAGTGGCGTGGAAAATGCGGCCGCACACGTCCGCAATGTTCTCGAACTGCGGTTGCAGGCGCAACCATGCCTGTGAGGCCCGCTTCCGCAGGTCGCGGAAGTCCTCCTTGTGACGACGAAGCTGCTGATGCAGCCAGACGATGCGGCGAACCGCCGCCTCCTGCGCCGCCACTCCACCGCTGTTGCAGCCGCCGTGCTTGAGCCCATCGGTAAATGCGCGGTGACCGAACTTCGCGTACACGTCGCAGCCGTCACTGCGCAGGTGTGACGCGGCGGCACCCTCCACATCGATGAAGAATTCCTGCCGCAGCTCCCGCATGGAAGTATCCACGTTGCGCACCATTTCTTGCAACTCCTTCCGCTCACTCAGCTGCGCACGCAGGGCATCGACACGGTGCTGCATCCGCAGCGGCGGCCACGAGAGAAGAGGGTTGGGTTGCAAGGAGGCCAGCACATCCTCCCCCGCCACATGTAACACCTCCTCCTTTTCACTGTCACCGTGGCGATGGTGCTGTTGATTGTACGCCTCCGCCTCCTGCAGTATCAGCGCCAGCCGCTGCGAGAGACGATCCAGCACGTCACGGTAACACGCAGTGCCGGCAGTCAACATCTTTCCCACACGTATGCGCCCAACCTCCAGGGACGCTCTGACGCCCTCCCTTCCTCCCTCTATGCGTGTACGCACGAGCACCAGAGACACATCAGGGCGAAATAAGAGAGCGGCCACAACAGTGAAAGATCGGGAGAACAACAAACCTGTCATTACCGTACACATTTTTGTTTTGTTTTTCCACCCACCACCATCGCTTTTTATACTCCTTCGTTGGGGCGTTGACTCACACAAGTTTACACCCTCGTTCAGTCCACTCCACGCGCTCGGCCACATAAATAATTAACGGAAAGACAATAGCAACAATCTCCTTCCCTCCCCCAACACATACACATAAAACACGATAAAGGCAGAGATACATCCAAATGTAAATATATAAAGGCAAATCTAACAATCATACGAGCCTCACTTGAATGACTTCCCATGCACCTTCAAATCCTTCACGCGAAAGCCTGACGCAGTCATACCACCAAACACGCAACGCACCTTGTCAATGGGAAACAGACGGGTATTGGCGAGGACATTCATCGTCTGAACACCTTTCATGTCCCGCAGTTCGCCGCTGCCGACGGACAAAAAACCCGTTCCATGTGCATGCTTCACCTCTACCTCGTACGAGGTAGCGCCCATGCCGTCCCCCGGTGTCACCACCGTGATGCAAGAAAGACTAATAGGGTTAGGGAACTCAAAAACCACCATGTTGTTATCGGCCGTGCATAGTGGATTGCCCAACGTCTCCCTCGCATCAAGATTTAGATTGCTTCTAACATCCTGCCTCGGCGACCCACTTTTTTGATCCAGTGTGATGGCACAGCCCTCTGCCGCCGATGCCATCGTAAATTGCAGCAACTTCTCATCCCCACCGTCATCATATTCCGTGTGGGCCACGGCGCTTGGGACCCGCCCCTGCACCGCCCATGAAGACGTTGATTTAAAACTGTCACGCCGTTGCCGAGACGTCACCTTCGCGGTGTATGCCGTATTCGGCGTCTTGTTGTTGTTGTTGCTGCTGCTGCCCCTGCTCCCGTTGCTGCCGTTAAAACGGTGTAAAGAAGCGCGAGTTGCAGTTCGAAGTCTGGGACTGACCGCGTAAGAGGAAGAGGACATGGGTGACCTTGCCAGCATCCGTGAAGGTTCGCTTCCCTCCTCGTTGCCGCCGGACACATGCCTTCCCCTCCTCTCAGCGGCCCTGCCGCCGATAAAACTATTGATGAGGCCGCTGCCGCTGTTACTGCGTAGCTTCTGCGACGAGCATTGCCCCCGCATCATTGCCGCACGTGTGGTGTGAAACGCACGCCTCGATGTACCTTGACGTCTATTGGAAGTCGCAGTAGGGAAATTACCGGTGGTAGCAGAGCCCTGCGGCACGTACACCACCGCTTCCCGGCTCGAAAACAACACCTTTGGAAACGCCACAACACGTACCTCCCGTGTCGCATCGGCTGCAAGGCTTAGTGGCCCTGTGTAGAGCGGTGACGCGGGTGTCGGTGTCGTTCCGTCTAGCGTGTAGCGGTAATCCGCCGTTTGGTGTGGAGACGCGAGGTAGACGGTGGTGTCGTGTGCGGAGTAGACAATCCGCGGCGTGTCCAGCACGGCTGGCACCTCGTACGTGACGACGGGGGAGGCAAAGTCACCGGCAGCAAAGGAAGCGAGGCGAATGACAGGTGGGGGCGGTACAGCACTTCGCCACGACCCCCATGGGGCGTCAACCGATGATGCTGTGTCCAATGCGATAGGATGCACGTATAACATCGAGGTCTTCGTGGGTTGTGTGCCGTCCAGCGTGTAGCGAACCTCGCGGTGTGCAACAGCCGTGTCACCCGGCGCCGCTACTAACACAAATCGTCGCCAGACAGCGTCAAAGTAACCACTAGGCGGTCTTAACGTACTAGGCACCTCAACTTCCAAGACGTCACTGGAGTGGGCACAACGGGCCATGCCACAAATGTGGAGTACAGTTCCCGGCTGTTTGCAGTACGGCCGCAGATCAACGACACCGTCGTGTGGAACTTGCACGGATGACGCGTGCCAGCGTGGATCTGTTCCATCAAATGTCATGACATACGTGATGCCTGGCGTCACGTGCAGCCGAAGTTTCATCGTTTCTAGATCCACCTTTCCATCTGGCCTTGGAACTTTTAAGTGACATCGCAGCATCTGCTGCTTCGCCGCGGCAAGGAACGAGACGGCCGCAGCCCCCGCCTCCGTCGTGAGAGAGTGCTGGAAGGCGTGTGTCACATGTATGCACTGCGTCACGAGTGAACGGGCATGGTGAAGGTTGCCGGAAAGGATCTCCACATACTTGCTGGCCCCCATTGCCTGGGCCAGCTGTACCGCCTCCGTGTGCGATACAAGTGGAGTGTGCCCCGCCGTGGGCGTCCGCCTCGTCTCTGCGGCAAGCCCCACGACGACGACAGGCGTGACGGGCCACCGTACGACGTGGCAGGTGTCGGCAAGATCCTGCGCGAGTACTGTAAAGGCCCTTCCCACCTCCTCCCTCCACCACCGCTGACGCAGGGCGTCCAACGTGTCGCGGTTGCCAACACTGAAGCACAACAAAATAACGTCGCTGGCAAGGCACAACTCGCCGCGGAGAGAGGCGGTCACGTCTGCCACACCTGGCACGAGCACCTTCACCCGTGGGAAGGCGGTGCGAGTAGCGCAGCCTCCACTCTCATTGTCACGGGGTTCCACGTCGTCGTTGTCGTCATCAGCCGCGGCGCCGAGTCCAAACACCAACGGCTCTTGGCGGGGGCTTCCCCAGCCGCCATGAAGCAGCAAGGCCGCCAGCCCCAGTTTGTCGTCCGTCTCGTCGCCAAGGACGAGAAGACGCAGGGAATGACACGAGGGCCCGTCATCACCCTTCGTGATGGCGTTGACGCACGCCGGGCGTTCTCTACCGGCGAGGTACGCACGGCGCTGCCGGTGCAGGTGCAGCGCAATCACGTCCGCGGGCGAGAGGTGCAGCGCCTCTCCGTCCTGGCGAACAAAGCACTCGAGCTCCTCGAGCGTCATGTCGCTTATGTGGTGAAGCGCCATGAATGTAGCAGTGGCACTACCCCTGTCGTCTGCGCCGCGCAAGGAGAGGCACACAGAAAGGGTACGGTGGAGAAGCGGAGGGAAAAAAAATAAACCAACAAAAAGCGATATCCACGCACACGGGCACATACAGAACAAAAACCTCAACGCCGCAAAACAACGAGGAACAAAAACACAAATGCAGAGAGAAGCCACAAACGCGCCCATCACACCTTCACTAATTCATCACCCCGCCCCCTCTCCTTGTCCGGTGTCGTGGCGGTTGGCGTTGCGCGCCATTCATTCGCTGGTTGTATCCTGCACTTTGCAGGGGACTCCGTTCTCTCATATCCACTCCATCGTTGCTGCGCGTACCCTCCTACCGTTGCGGAGGGTTGATACTCCCAACGTGCCTATACGCCCCATGCGAGCGGCATCAGTAATCATACGCGCCATCCGCCTCGGTCGCGTCAAACGACAGCACAAACGCGGTGAGTCCCAATAACACCTCGGAGACTAAAGAGAGAAAAAACGCCCCGAAACTGATGGTGCCAACATGATACAGCACGCAACTCATCGCAGGACTGCCTACAACGAGGGCGCCCCCGAGAAAGAGGCCAAGGCCGTCCATCAGGCTCTCTTCCGAGAAATTCCCCTGTCGTCGGCCGCACAGCACAAACGGCACTGGGGCGACGATGGAAATCATGAAGGGCAGCAGCGGCCACGCGTTGCTGTCGACGACAATTGTGCATGCAAGAATGGCGAAAAGAAACGCCACCACCAATAGGCAGGCGGCAAACACCAACACCCGCAGCGACGCCATTTCCCTACCAATACAATTTATATATATGAACAAGTTTTGTTTTTGTTTTTGTGTCCCCCACTCCGCCTACCTTATTCCTCTGAAAGTGCAAAAAACGTTGTTGCAGCGGACGCCCCTATTGGACTGTCCAGCTCGTACGGCGCTTGCGACTAAAAATGCAATAATATATATATGCCTACTTGTGGGCTGCGGGAGGCGTTCAACTCGTGCGAGCGCACGACAAAAAAGGAGAAATCAAAATCGGCGGAAACCAAAAGAAAAAAAACACACACACAGCCATCATGAGAACCATCATCGTGGCACATGGCGGAGGCCAACCGCGGTGCCGCCCGCTACTCCTCCACCCCCACCCCCCCGCCCGGGCACATATCGACCCCACACATGAAGGAAAAGAGCCCCGCGTGAAGAAAGAGAGGGTTACACACACGCGAGTGGCGATATCGATGTACAACACTGCATAAAAAACGCGACCTGCATTACTGCAAGGCGAACAGATTTAAAAAACGAGGAAAAACAAACAAACAACAAACAACAGCAGAAACGCACGCATAGTAAGAAACGCAAAAATATTTATATTTTTTTAAAAAATATTAAAATATTACAACAAAGCCATGGACGAACAAAGGCCCCACAAATAAATTAATAAATATATATATATTAAAAGGAAACACACACACAACCTGCATTAATCAGCACCCTCAAGAAGATACCGCTCGAGGTGCTTGCGGAAGTATGCCGGGTTCAGAGGCTCCCCCGTGGCTTGGGTTAAAAGCTCCTCTGTTGTGAAGATGGAGCCGTGCTGCCATATTTTTTCCCGCTGCTTCTCAAGAATGGGGCGGAGTTCGCCCTTGCGGATGCAGTCGTCCACCACATCCTCCCCGAGATCCCGCCGGATGGAGGCC